GTAATACGAAGGATATTATACAGTAATGCACTTGTTCGCTTCAAAAACTGGTGCAGAACGACTTTGCCAAACCGCACCAAATGCAGCCGCACTGCCACGCCCCACCGGTCCGCAATGATGAGGACTGTATGTTAAATTATGAGTACCTTTCGTTTCTCACGCCCTTCTTTCGAGACCGATGGAGAAGTGGATGCAAGTGATGTCCTTGAGTACGACAAGTAGCTCTTGTTATCACTAACAATACCAGAAGACTGTTCGCTGAGGTTCGAGGCAATCGAACCAATCAACTTCTTTCTTCTGGCGTATCGTGCGAGACGCTGGCTGATTTCCTCCACCTTAAAAAACGGTCACCCTTCATTGGTCTGTAAACGGTCAATAACATAGACTATGAAGCTTCACTTTACCTTGTCGTCAATCTTCGTGTCAAGATCTCCAGTAAGCCTGCAGAGTTCCTGCATCGCCAGCACAGTCTCGTAAAATATGCGCGACTCGTCAACAGTCAAGTGAGTACCGATATCGCGGACGGCATCGGGAAGTACCTAAATTATTCGAGGCCGTTTTTTCACAAAACTACATTCAGATCAACCGCGGGGTGGTCCACTTACAGCTTGGAGTTCTTGTGCAATGAGACCAGTTCGTCTACGTTGTTCTTCACTGAGACCCCACAGTTCTGCAATTTCAGGTTTGTAACGGAAATCGACTATACGCAGTTGCTGAAGGTGTTCCAGCGCATCTCGTGACGTCTTTTCAACGATGTCCTCTTTCAGGCGAATGTCGCACGGGCGAGTTATCTAAACAGACCAATCAATAATTAAACGGCAGCTGTGGCAAAAGAGGTACGGGTAAGTCTCTCAATTGAGATCGACACCAAGCGTGCGCGGTACATGCACCAAAGGTGCGGAATGCCTCGAGAATACTACAATAACCGTCACGCGCGACGACCACTGAAGGAGGCTGAACGATCTGCCTAGGAGACTTGCCCTGTACCCCGTATACGGTGTACTTACCTGTCCAGTGATGTAAATATCACCGTCAACCGTCAGCTTTGCAGCGGTACGATCGGTACCGATAGCAACTGGACCATGGCAGACTAGGGTTCCTCCGTTGCGGTACCACTGCACATCGCTCTCGGGTGGCTCGAACGAACCAGGATTAGTAGCCTGAAAACGAAAATGTTTCAAAATAATCCTGGAAGACAGACAATGTGGGGAAAAAGGTTTCGTCTTTGCAACTTTATCGTACGATAACTGAACAATGATGGTAACGACCGCCATGGAACTCTACGGCTCAACCCCTCTCTGCATGTCTAGGAAGTGTTCTGAAGAAAACCTACCCGAAACTGGTATTAAAATGGTCACAACACCAACTGTACAAGAGTAAATTAGCCGGGAGGGTTACTTGCCAAAGAAGCATGCGAGCAGTTCCAAGAAAGTACGGGGACCTTGCACACCCAACAACACCAACGCATTTACATATGAAGTTACCGTAAACAAAAAAGTAAGAGTGTTTTAAACATACCCGGACAATGACTTTCTCCGACTGTTGGGCTTGAATGAGAGCCACACCCTTCGTCAGTACAAGCTAGCAGGCGTACTACGAGCAGGAAGTATTTCTGGTCGGGATTCGGTCGATTGTTCTTCCTCTGGTTATTCAGCGTCGTCTCAGAGAAATGCAGCCTTGGTACCGTCACCTTGGTAATTTCTCGAGCGTGGATGTTTAGTCTGAAAACAACTTGTTCATTAAGTGGCAGAAAGCATCACAGCAGAAATCACAGTGCCGCGAAATAAGCAGGGCGCACTTATCACAAGAACTGGAAAGCGTAATTTACAAGTTATGCATATAGGAATGACAAGGGGGTATGTGACAAGAGAACCGTAATTCGCCGCGCTGGTGGGCGTCGCGTGCGACGTCGCGCCCGCAAATGACGATGGTTCCAGGTAGTAGATGGCGACAACAGGCAATTCAGAACCGAAAATAGTCATGAATGTCTACGATGACGGGGTCTACATGAAGTCCGGTGCTCCAATCGACAGGTTAACACGAGTTAAGAAACGCCACGCCCATCACCGCGCGGCGAGCGGGAAATTATGATTCTCTTGTCCACCTTCCCGTATGAGGTCGTGCATATCGACAATTATTTGGATCGCGCTGCGTCAATTAATGGTGAAGCGGTGGCTCAGTATGTTTCGTGAGGAAACTGAATAGAACGTACATGACAGGATCGTGAGGTATTGGTTTACGATCGGTCTGCGACTGCTTGATCTGAATTTCTGACGACAGCATTTCTGCCTTGACACCGCAGAACGCCAGTTTGATGGCTTTGATCGGATGCATCACGCCGTTAACTTTTACGAATTTTGGTGGATGCTCATCGTTCGCCTCGATATTCACTGAGATCTTAAAGAAAGTGGCAGTGGATTTCAAACAGTAAACTGTGAATGTAGACAGAACATACCTGGAAATGATTTTTCTTCTGATTGACAAAGCATCCATCCGAGTTTGAGTAATTGAAGCCCTTGTCGGCTACAACGCAAATTTTGAGCTTGGTCAG